GCAGTTGGTTGGTTTCTGTTGGAGATTTTAAACGAACGCACCTAAAACTATGTTCACATATCAATATTGTCTCAATCAAAGCTAGTTTTTTAATCACCCTGTTTACACAGGCCAATCTCAGATTATTAGCCGTCAAATTTGTTTCGCTTGTTATTCTCACATCTCAAGGAAAATTTATGTTTCTTTTCTGTGCGACCGTGATCACGTTTTTCTGCCATAATGAGCAATATAAATATATTTTAACTTAACATTTTATTAAAAATACCTTTACAAACCTCTTTTACTTTCTAGCTTACATTTTTGTTTACTTTTACATTTGGCACTTCTCCTCTCTTTCGCAAAAACAATCGATAAAACTAGGATGGACACCGAAAAGATATCGGTTAAATCTGAGATTATTTTATAATTACAGATTAACAAGGGAGGAATTTTATATGGCTAATCTCTTGTTATAATTACAGATTAGGGTGTTAAGCTCGAAAATGAGGATAATCTACTTATATGTGAACCTAGTATAAGATTATCCTCGAAACCTTCAGGGATTTCCCAAATATCATCCGGCTCGTATCGCTGGATTGTTAAATAAAGGCTCACAATGACCAAATTGTACAATTTACTTTATTGTACAACAAACAATTTACAATGCTTGCTAATACCGTACACTTTACAATACTCGTCAAAGCAATTACAACGCTTTAAAAAACTGGTTACCACAATTAAACTTATAGCTTGCTTATTCGCAACTCACTTTACTTGTAGCTTGCTGACGTGTAACTAACTCACTCCGCTGTGTGGTGGCTCTTATATGTCTGCGCTCGCACTCATGGCAACTCTAGAATGTTCTGAAGTTCATCGCTCATTCTCTTTCTTTCGCTGTTCGCAGTGTTCATCCAACTTGACGTTTCTCTCTGTGGAAATTGTTTTGCTGCTTTCGTATAAAATTTCCGCAAACTTTAATTATAATTAAAATAAATTTTATACTACATTCCGACTAGTTAATAAATAAAATAAGTAAATTATTTATTCGAATATACCTGTTTGAATTGAGTAAATTATAATATCCTATTTTGAACTTAACCCACTTTACGCATGTGAGTGGCAATCATTTCTTAGCCCGTGCTGCCAGGCGTTTTTGTTAGCTCTGATCCAATACTTTTCGTGTTAAAGCTTAGTATCCAGCTCTTAAGAAAACGAATATTAGAACGCGTAAAATAAAACTGTTACGAGTACAAAAGAATCATTACTCTCATAAAAACTACAACAGAGGTCCGCTTATATCAAGAAAAACATTCTGTCAGCCAATATACCTTGTTTCAGTGTTAATCAGTCAAAATGGATAAGTTTAATTGGAAAGGATCCACTAATTTGAGAGGGAAAATTCAGAAGATTTATCTTAAACTAAAAGATGACACGTCCAAGAGTGTTACAGCCAATAAAAGTGTTACTGCGAATTTTGAAACAATATTCTAAAAATTGTAGATAATGTACATCAAAAATCCATTCGTCCAGAATATAACAGCTGTAATCCTATTCAGAACGACTCGAGTGAAAGTCACGATGCAGAAATTTCTGTTGATAATATAATAGCACCATGGCATGCAGCTTCAAAGCTTCTAAAATTTCCCCTTTTTTGGTGCAAGGCTGGGTAGTCCAATTGCCTCTGGCTTTGAATTTGCATCTTTCAGCAATTTTTGAATTTCGAAGACTTTTTTAGTATTTGGACAATATAGAATTCCCACATTCTCCCAATTGTAAGGCACAACGGTAAGGCATATTTCCCCATGTTCAATAGTTTGCACGATTTTAGTTGACATCCTGAAAAATTATATAGTTAGTTCACTACAAAACGTCGGAATAACATCTATAAAAAAATATTCATTATTATCGATAAAATTTCAATCCCCATAAAATCTTAGCTTATAAATTCGAAAATTGACTTCTAAAGGTCTATAATACTTATATGAAATCCTAGTCCAATTTAATTTCTGCCATCGAAAATGTAACATCGATTTGCTATAAATTAATTCTTATGAAATTATCTTCATTCTACAAAAAATAACACCACCAAAGTTATGTTAATTATTATGATACCATTATGAGAGTGCATATATACTCTCATAAGAATTCAAATAGTTTTTTTTATGAAACTTGCGTATCTCTTACAAAGAGAGCTATCATATTTTTATAAGACAAAAATAACTCTCATAAGTGCGCCATTTAATTCTGACAACGTATTCATAAAGCACCCGTAGTACTCTACCA